TCACAGTTGCCCTCCCTCATTTTCACACTCACCCCCAACCCTATCTCATTCACCCCCTCATTCTGTCAAACTCACCTTGCCACAGTTTTCCATTTTCACCCTGTCACAGTCACCCTTAAAGACAATCGTCATACACAAAGTTATAAAACATAGCTTCACCAAAGACAAAATGCACAAAGGCCACATATCCATATACAAAAAACACTGCAAGCAGCTACCACACATACATACGGTCCCAGACACAAACATACACATGCTCACAGAAACATACATTCACACACAAGGGTACTCACTGTCAGACGCACTCTCAGGCACATACACAGACAGACAATGCCAGACACATTCAGAAATACACACAGCCAGATAAACACATTGTGACTGTATGTCTGTATTAGTCAATATGTGTGTCTCTGTGCATCAGTGTGTTTGTGTGTGTAAATGCATGTGCATGTATCAGTGTTTATATGTATTTGTGCATTAGTGTTTAAATGTGTGCGTGTGTCTGCAGTGTGGTTGTGGTATGATATGGGCAATGCAAAGATAAAGTTGCAAGCAACATATATATGCATACATACATACATACATATACAATACATAGGGAAACACATATATGATAATATACATGTTAAGGAATTTAGAATATGTGGGGAAATGTCTATGACATTGTATTCTTATCTGTAACTTTATTATTTAGAAAATGATTTTTTTAAAAGCCAAACCAAAAAATTTAATTTTTCAAATAACCCCTTTACACTGGCACCTATGTATACACGACTGCCAGGCTATACAACCATACCCAGCAATCATATATAAATGATTAGCAATTTATGCCATATCTACAGTAAAAGTGCTCACAACGCAGCGGCATAGGGAGCTGCGGCAATTTTTTTCACTAACGGTGTAAGTGGGGGGCCTCATGTTTGTCTTTCGCCTAAGGCCTTGCAAAGTCTAGAGCCGCCTCTGCCTACAGCTCAGTACAGAAGTTGCAGTAAAAAAAAAAAATTGGTGGTGGTGTTTTCTATTATTTCAAACAATTTTTGACTGTTTCTTCCAGCGTCGACAGTTTGCCATAGAACTAATACAGCTTTGAACTTGCCCACTAGCCAGTTCAACAGCAATGATAAGCTGAGAGCACTGGGCTGCCCCACGTCTAGCTCTGTCAGACTCTTTCTACCATAATTAGTGCTATGAGCTGTGGTGTTTATGATGTTTAGAATGCCATTTTAATACCATGTAGGAATACCTTGTTTCAAAGTGGCCTTCTAATACAACGTACTGTTACATAAAAAAACTGTGCACCTTTCAAAGCAGGCCCAGTGTTATATGAGAAGCTAGGCAGGCGATATGTTATTGAAATTGCTGAGTGTCTATGTAAATTGTACACATGAGTTGGGTGCATGTATTTTTGTGTTTAAATGAGGTTAGCGGGTTCAAGATTAACATGAATGTGTGTTTGCATGTTTCTGCGTTCACAAATACTTCTAAGTTAAAAATAGGAATAAATAAACATAATATAAAATAGTCTTGAAAATTACGATTTCCCTTTAGATTGCAAACGTCTGAGAACAAGAGTTCCCTACGTAGGCTGTTTTCCATAGCCACTCATTCTACACATAAGGATGACTAAGCAAACAGCTGGTGACTACTAACAGTGATTAATAGGAGATGTCTAAAGCAGATATTCGTGGACTACATATTTCATCATGCTCAGCAAATCAAAGTTACTCTATGTATCATTGGATACACAGATTGGCCTACTTTCTCTCAATTTTTGGTATGTCTGAATGTTTTCCCAAATATTTTTCCATAGACAATATTAGCCAAACCAAACCATCCCATGTATGAGCATCACATATCCCAAACAAAAAAAAATTAATTTTGGGAAATAGGATTCTGACGAACTAAACGTTTACAATGTGCACAAGTCTATCCAGTTGTTTATATGCCCCGGTGCTAAAATGGAACTTAAATATAGATTAAATGTTAGGAAGGAATGGGCACTCGTAGGACTTTGTTAGAAAATAGTAAGAAAGATGTTATTTGTGCAGCGACAATGTTTCAGACCCACAATGTACCCCTAATACACACACACACTGTACCCCTAACACACACACACACACACACTGTATCCCTCACACACACATATACTGTAGCCCTAGCATACACACACCCACACACTGCACCCCTAACACACACACACACTGCACCCTTCACAAAATATAATCATATTCCTAGCACAAGTGTATGCTAGCAGCGTTATTTACTAAAGTGTGAAGGGCCTAGAATTCAAAAAGTACATTTCACATTTAATGGCAAAATAGTTGAAATGAAAACAGAAATTATATGATTTTTTTTCCATTGCCTATTTCGACTTACAATTTGAAATTCACTTTGGATTCATGGCAGTTCACACTTTAGTGAATAACCCAGTTTTGGGATGCTGCTGTATCTTCTGTAGACACCATATTTGTTGTAGTTACTAACATGTCAACAGAAGATCAAACATAAAAATAAGAATAACCTTTACCATTTTACCACTATGGCTTGCACTATATACATATATATATAAGAAATCTTTTTCCACATAGTGTGTCACCACGCCAAGTTTGTCATGACAGATGCTCTTTAAAGGGAAACTGTCACTTCTCTATTGTTTGCACAACCTAACAGTTAAAGGTTAGCTATAGAATAAGTATGTTTTGTTTGTTTGTTGACTATGTTTTGTAACACAGTATTCTTATTCTTTCATTCGCATCATATGTCAGGCTGTCCTGGCCAGGACACACGATGTTAATGAATTTAAACACTATGGTAACATGTGGGCAGATATTGCGTTAGCAAACGTATGCGTACAGCATAATGTAAGAAATACCTGCGCATGCATGCATGTGGATAGCACTTTCCAAGCAGATGCCCAAGTGAATAAGGGTACACCTTGAACAATAATGGAATGAGATAATGTCTTAAACATGGATCTTCTAAAGAGATGTGCATTGTACTTACCTTCACTGCTCTCCTCAATACTGTAAGAATGAGTATTGTCTAGTAGGTGTAAATGGAACCTCTCTCGTCAAAGCATAACGGAGTTCTGAAGTGACAGCTCCTCTTAAAAGCCAATCCAGAGTTGAGCCATCTATAATTTCAAAATGTGGGTTTTCTATATGCCAAGGAAACAAATACTTATGTGCAAGTATGGTTTCATTGGGTTAACAATCATCTGTGGGTAATATTCTTCTAAGTGATATATTAATGGAATAGTAGAATGAGAGATTGGGGATGTTTATATTCTACTTGTATAATAAATAGTGATAGTTTACATTGGCCAATGTAGGCATCATGTAGAGATAGTCTATATTGGCCAATGTAGGCATCATGTAGAGATAGTCTATATTGGCCAATGTAGGCATCATGTAGAGATGAAGAGATACAGATAGATTCGATTTGGTACTATGGCTTTGGGCCACTATAGCAGAAGGTATTTAGCCCAGAACAAAACAGTCTTTTGTAAAGAGAGGCATTAAGTTCTGAGTTTCTTAGCTTTTCTTAGTTCTGTTCTGTATTTCTGCTTTTCATTTACATTGCATACAACTTTTCCTTATTCTTGCACTAAGGGTAAATAAATAAAAGAATACACTCTATTAAAAAAATCTTCAAGGGATACAAACATTTTAAGGATTTTTTTATAGGAAACAAAGATACAACAAAATTATTGGCAGATGTTATCCTTACATGATATACGAATTGATATACGATTCGAGATGATTATGATTTTTCAGGGTAATTATGGTAACCACATAGACCTAACAGATTTGTGGGCTGTGGTGGGATTGTACACTGATCTGTATCAATTTTATCCCACAAAGCAACAGCCTCATGTCCCAATCAAAATTCCAGGGTTTGTGAAGCATGCAAGGAGAGAATAAGAGGGCCTTCTCTCAGCTAATTATACCATTGTTGTGTAAAGTGTATGCTTAGAAGTGGTACCAGTGGCATAGCACTATACAAGGCAAGAGGAAAAACTATAAATGTTGTTCATCCTCTGCAACACGTTTTAAGAGATTTCTGCTAAAACCTTAGAGACACATGAATCTTGCATCTTGAGTTGTAAGAAATTAATAGAAAACTACTATATAGCATCTACACATCCATGGTGTGGTTACCTGCAACTTTTGTTCAGTTATTTAATATGCTTTTGGTTTAATTCAACACGAAATAAACAAGGACTAAAATTCTAGAGGGTTTATCCGCTTAAATAGGCAATTTTGGAGAATTTACATAACTAATATATTTCATACCAAAAGAGCCTAAAAATTAAAATTACAGACAAATTTTAAAAAATTGTCAACTTAAGCCGAACTAGCAAACTGACTAGACGCACTTTGCACAAGCTCTTGCAGTAAGGGCTCAAACTCTGCGGATAACTTAGGATATAATGCTGCGATTTACCCACAAATCAGCCCATTGGAATGGGGAAGCAGTCATGAACCTGCCGACACCACACTCGACACACAGCTCGACCAGGAACCGCAGCAGCAGAATGAGGCCCACCGCCGGAGGCATGGGGGAAGGACGGCCACCTTCCCGCCAGATGCTAAACGACACACGCGATCACAAAACACTTCCCTCCCCCCCCCCCCACCCTGTGGACCGGTGGAGGATATCGCGGTCCCCGCTGGACGGAGGCCCAGCAACCTCCCTAAGCAATGTGAGTCGGGAGCCTCGAAGATGGCGGATCTCTCTGACTCGACAGTGTCGGAAAAGCGATGGCAACAATATGCTGTAACGGACACCGGAGACCACACAAGAGACTCCCTTGCAGTAATCTTTGACCGTTTCTGGGTCAAGTTGAAGGCGCGCTTACAGCCTGAGGTGCCTCTCCACAAACCGCCCACACGGGACAGAGCCAATGGCAGACGGATGCTTGAGAGTCCTCCTCAGGGCAAAACTAAGCCCCACGCTTCAGACTCCCGCATTTAGGGCCCTCCCAGGCTGAGAGCAACATGGGGCACACCCCAGAGGTGCCAGCCACACCAGCGGAGAGCACCAAACGACTACTTACACAGACTGACAAGACTTCCTGTACCATCCCGAAAGGGACAATCCTGGACCACAACGGTCCCCAGGCTCGTGGCCTGCGGGCACCAGCTCTCACACAACTTCAGGGCAGAGAAGGAATCCCGCCTCCAAGACACCACGGCTCTACCCAGCTGAGACGGAATCCCAGTGTGAATCCCAAGCCTGGAAAGAAATTGACAACCGGTGGTCGCTGGGTCCACAGCAGCAAGGCTATAATTCTGGTGCAAGCTAGAGACAAGAGTTCCACTACATGCCGCATCTGCACGGTCACCCACCCTCACGAACTGTACCCACAGAAGAGCACCGGTCATTAAACACTACAACTGATTGTGCCCGACTCGAATGAGGACTGGTACCTGTCGCAGATCAGCAGGAGGGCACAAGGAGACACCATGCCGGGCCAAAGAATGGACTACCTATTAAAGCACATCAGTGGCATCGGGTGAAGGTTTGCGGCTACCTCCATTACAGCTACCAGCCTGGTCAAAATGCAGGACTTAGTACCTGCTCACATTGCTATAATTAGCTAAACGCCCAGCGGTACAAACGTTCCATCTCATTTAATTTGTTTTCACATTGCTATAAATAGCTAAACGCCCAGCGGTACAAACGTTTCATTTCATTTAATTTGTTTTATCAGTTGATAAGCCGGTAGCTACACATATATGTTTGATTAATAAGCCAATATGTCTTTTAATGCATGTGGCTACAAGGGCTTTAACCATACAAAACACGCAGAGACATGCACTAATAAGCCTGTACTCTACATTCTGCTCATCTATGGTGCAGGTTAATTTAATCGAATGCCTTGCAACTTACATGTCCGGCTATATTTCATCTAGCCAATGATAAGCTTACTAAATCTCTTCTCAAACCTACCTACCGTATACCTCAATGTTGCAAATGTTTGACAAAAAAGCATGCGTTTCTAACAATCCACACTTTAGACGAGTAACTCTGTGAATTGGAAAAAAAATTGCTGCTTGGCTATTTTGGTTTAAACTCCAAACTTCCCAGCTTAGTGAATACAATGTTTTGTGTCAATATTTATTTAAGATTTTTTGATCAATGCAAAAACACATGCAGGAAGGGCAAAGAAAACAGAAATATGGAAACCAACAGGTAGGAATCCCAGAAATTAAATAGAGACTTTCCAAATAGTGCTCATGGAAACAACAAACAAGCTGTGCACATCATTCTGTGTAGTCTCAAGATGCAAGATAATTTGACTTGGCTAGAATAGAGGAAGCATTGGACTAAATCCAGAGGCTGATGTGTTTCCATAAGGAATAATGAACAAAAGAGAGTGGGATAGGGTAAAGGGCGGACTCCCCGCATGGGAGAGAGCAGGGAGAAGAGAAAAAAAGCAGGAGGAAAAAACAGAAAAGGCGAGGAGCTAGAAAGAGGTCTACCACTCCATTTGTGGCCTCAAAACCAATCCCCTGATGTCCCCTGTGATGGAGCACCTGGCACTCCGACCGAGTGCCTCTGCCTTTCGATGCTCCTAATGCTCACCAAGGAATTCCAGCACTCCACCAGACACTGTAAGCACTGCAGACCCCACTTCCAGCGATGCAGCTGCGCCGGAGTCTCCTTCACCCACCCTGGACCCAAGACCAGGATCCAGCGAGCAGACCTCTCCTACTCCCAGAGATCGTAGCAGGAACAGCTCTTATAAGAGCTAGTGATTATAATTCCTGGGGAGTATAGTGATATAGCAATCCCCAGGATAGATACAGCCATTTACCCCACACATGAGATGAGACTCTATGTTGAGGGTAAGCCAAAACAGAATTTTAATGTAGGCACACTGCCCTTTTATGCAATTTTCACAACAAGGGTGACACCCAGGTGGACCTTGTTGGGCACAGGGATACAAAGTGAATAAACCAATAAAAACAGAGTCATACAGTGAAACACTCCTGTAACGGATCACCTGGCACTCTGACTGGGTACCTCCGTTGAAGGATGCTCCTAGCGCTTCCTGAGGACTCCAAGCACTGCAGCAGACACCACAACCACCAAACTGGAGAAGCATACGAAGCATGCCCTCAAGCATGTGAATGCTGTAAGCAGCTGAAAAAGCATACAATCAGCTTACACTCCTGGCAATCAGCATACAATCCAATTCCCCCAATAACGAGACGACACTTCGTTTTGAGGTCAAGCAGAACTGACTGTACTGGCACATACAGCCTCTTTTATTCACAATCCACAAACATAGTACTGCCCACAGGGTTTTGAAATACAACCAATCAATCCGTACAATACACAGAGACACTCCCACACAAAATCCTCTCCTCTGCCTGTGATATGATTACCGAACACAATGGTTAATATAATTATCACAGGCAGAGAAATACAGTATTATAAAACATATCACACGGACCCCAAAACATGCAATAAAACCATAAAAAGTATATCCTCGGAACCGGGGGATCTGGGTGAACAAAATATCCAAAATTCACCCAGATCCGTTCATTAGTTTGGAAGATACAGTTTAATGCAGATTCCGCAGAACATATACAGGCTATATGAAAAATAATTACTGTATAATGTGTCCCCTGTTGTATAGTTTAAAACTACTGCACGATGTCTTTGTGCACCAAATACCGGCAAGATGGCACCGTGTAGAAAAGTCCAAACAGTGTCTGTGAGTTAAAAAGGTGGCCATCCATTGTTCTCACTATGTGCTTCATCCATTGTTCTCACCATGTGCCTCTGATACATGAAATGGTGGCCACCCAGTAACTCCACAGTTTGTCTGGTAGTCTATCCAGCCGGACCTACAGATGAAACAATGGGGAACAGTGCAACATATGAAGGGAATCATAAAAAATATGGACAATAGTTATATTTGTGCACAATCTCCAGTTTTGTCACAGGGCACAAATAGTGTTTTCAAATGCCATATATCCCAGGGCCATAGTCAGAAGGTAGGAGGCGGGCAAGCAGCCCCCTTCAAGAACACGTAGCGAGGTCTGTTCCGCCACAACTCCCAAACACAAACAATAGAATCCCTCCTCTGTGCTTGGGAGATAATTGAATCAGGAACTGTACTAATCTAACCCAATTATCTCCAAGTACAGAAAAACATACAATTTTCTGAAATCCAAAAAAGTACCTTAAAACCACATAAAATCCCATAAAAGTTACCTCCCCCGATAGCACAGATCTGGGTGAACAACAAATCCAAAAATCACCCAGATTGGTTCAGGGATTCAGGAATTTCCTGGAAGTCATAGTTTTGACCGACCGTGCACATGGTCCTATGCCCAAAACAGTTCCAGGGAAATCAGTGCTAAGGGTTGGTCAAGTTCGGTAGTCTTTTACAGGTTTTCCTGCAGGGCCCATAGTCTGTGGGCAGGAGGATGGCAAGCAGGCCCCTCCAAGTAAAAGTGGCAAGGTTACTTTTGCCACATACATACAGGAAAGCCAGCCACGGGGTCCAAGTAGAGCAATAACACTCCTCTCTCTGGTTCAAGATAAATCTGGGCCTAAAGCTACATCCGAGGCCTAAACAGATAAAAATAGGTGGACTCACTTATTATATTTAGTTTCCTGATCTGTGATCTTGGCAACCAGTTCTTAAGTCCAGCCATGCAGTTTTTTCTGTGGGATGCAAATCATATAAAATGGCCATGTACTGCACACATGTGGGCTTCCCAAGGAGGGAGGAGTGTCCAGGAGGCATCAAGATCAGATAGAAAGAATTTGTTAAGCCTTCATGTTCATTATGTTGGCTTAAATGGTGAAGAGGTGAAATACATAACTACCAGGGAATGGTCAGAAGAAAACAGTGAGGAGCAAAGGTGTGCAGGAATTTTTTTAAGCACAGAACATATTGTGAACAGCTGAATAAAAAGTATAATTATGGTCCTAATGGTTCAGCACCCTCCAACAGTCAACCACATGAAGTATGTGTAGGCCCTGTTTAATGATGCAAAGGTCCCTTTGAGGAACGTAGCTATGCTCAGTAGAAGTATCCATTCTGGGATCTAAAGAAACATTAAAATTGCCCCCAACAATCACGGTCCATCCATAAACATTTCAAGAAGAAAAAGTACACTGATTTTCAGTTTGCGCTGACCTACATTTGGGGCATATAATGAGGCAAAGGTGAACACTTAGGAGGCCATGCAGCCCTTCAGATATAGGCAGTGGCGTACTAAGGGGGGTGCCAAGACTAGGAGCGCCGCCCCCTCCCCCCCCCCCATTGCTGTAGAGAGCCTCAGGCGGCTGCAGCTTTGCCCGGGCGGTGCGTCCATGAGGGTGCACCGCCCGGGCGCAGCATGAGGAGAGGGGCTACCTCACATTAAAGAAACACTATAGTCCCCAGAACCACTGCAGCTTAATGTAGTGGTTCTGGTGTCTATAGCCTGTCCCTGCGGCGGCACTGCAGCACTGGGGTTAGTTAACATAGCAAATCATATGGGTGGGGCATTGTGATGTCACATGGGGGGGCGGCAAACTTTACTTTTGCCTAAGGCGGCAAAAATCCTTGCACTGGCCCTGGGTGGAGGGGGCTGTGTGCATGGGCGTAGGAACCCCAAACAATCTGGGGGGGATAGCATTTTTACTCGCAGGGTATATTCTTATTCCGTAAACTATGAGTTGTTTATCCCATTGCACAGTGCTACGGAATTAGGGATTATTCTAGCCTCGGTGAGGGAATAATCTAAATTTTATTAAAGACAGGAGGCAAATATTTGCTTTACCTTCTTTACTGAAACCTCCAGCAGCAAAGAAACAGTTAACAGAACTTTTCAAAACAACCAATCAGAACAAAGCAACAGTAGTATAAAACCCCTAAGCAGGCTCTTCCACTTCCTCTTTCTTTGATGAGGTCGAGCAGGAGAGCAAGGAAACCAACGAATCCACCTTGTAGGAGACACATCCAGAGAAACAATCGTCAAGCCCAGAGAGAGAACAGATTACACTGCAAGAAAACAGAAAACATTGTGAAAGTAAACTGTCAAGGCAAGATGTCATATCCATACAATATCACTTTCACATCATAATACCTGATGAATAAACAAAGTCTACAGATCTTATGAAGACCTAGTATGTACCTAAGCTAAAAAGGCATTGACGAAAGATAATTACAAACACAAACATGATGAATAAAACGCACACGGACAACCATCACTGAATATTAGAAATAACCTTTATTATGTAAAACCATGCATTCACAAAACATAACGATATCCCAATTATTTATAATAGAATAAAACCCAGATCCAGGGAGGGAACGTAAAAAAGGGGGGGAAATATTTGCCTCCTGTCTTTAATAAAATTTAGATTATTCCCTCAC